GCTGGGGGGGAGTGAGCGAGCGGCTGTGTGGTGCTCAGTTGCCGACTGAGGTTAAACCATGACAATATGAAAATCCCAAAATGCAATTGGTACAACAATTAAAACCTTAGCAAATACACTACCATGAAACATGGGCAAACAGTTCACAAGAACATTGCTACTGCTAAAATCAAGGCCCTCTCATCCAAGTACATGACAGGACAAAACAGCAGCTTCTGGCTTTTGTTAAACAGAACTGAAGAGAGCTACTTTTGAAGATGACTGCATGATACAGAGATCAGGAAAATCAGGAAAAAAAGCTGCCCTCAAGAGATTAGATTTTTAATAAAATATGAAACAAGAAAATGTAGTCTTGCTGACTTGCTATTATTCTCTATCTCACTCTCTCCCGTCAGGTTTTTTTGTCAGGAATATCCTGGGAGGAGTTTTATAATAAAATGGAACAGTGAAATGCTGGTTCATTAGGTATTATTTCCCCATGTTGCAATCACAATAACTAGTAGGAGCTTTAATAGAGAGATATATCCAAGAAGATCTAGAAGCCTACCTGCCAACAAGGTTGTCACAAGATAATGTGTTAAATTTATCAGTGGGGGCCTTAGTTCATATCATACAAAAATGAAACTTGAAAAATCGAAGAGAAGCTCTCCAACCTACATTTCCTACTAGGATCAACTTTTTTCTCACATAATTAAAAAAAATTGCTTGCTGCCAGCAAAAATCATCCTTGTGCTACAGACTACTAGACATTTAATAGAGTGAAGCTGTTCTCACCTTCTGTATTCCCACGCCACACTATCTCACTTCCAAGGTAGATAAATGGCTCTTACCCAGGACATACCATTACCAAGTTCACAAGGTTCTTTCCTGATTTAATTCCCACCATGACGAGCAGAACCAACAACCCACATCTCCATCACATGCGAGGGATTGAACTATCAGACAACTATATGGAAGGAGTGGTTCAGTGTCAGTGCCCTTTGAAGTAGTCTCAGTCCTACGTGGATGAGAATGTTTCATATTTTGCATTGTTTCTGTTGTTCTCCGTGGGGAGAGGAAGACACCCAAATTAAATTCTCTCAGGCATCTCTGGAACTCCATATAGTTAAAAATATACATGGAGAGAAATTCTTGAACTGGTACACTGTACTCCCTACCAGCTTCAGAAGTAGCACTCCCTCTCTTTTAAGTGTTCCAGCAATTTAGGGACACAAACCTAAAAGTCCACTACAAATGGCTAATTTAGGGATTTAAATCAACTGGACAGTGTTGCCAATGTCTTAATTTTGGGGCACCAGATTATCTGGAATTACATTTAATATCATCTCTATTATGCTTTAAAAGGGTTTTTACAAATTTTTGTGTAAATGTTTAGTTTCTTTCTACAAAATTTCTGTTTCCGAATGGCTGTGTGGATTTTAAACACTGACCTTGTAAACACTTGCATCTGGATGACATTTATGTATGTGGATTATGAGACTAATTACTTGACTGAAATGCAAACAGTAGAGCTAGAAAAGGCAGGACTCCATTAGTGCATTGCAATGTGCAGTATATGTCTTCCAGACAGGAAGCTGAGTAAACATACACTTTTCAATCAAAACAGTTCAGCTCCTTTGCCATGGATGAGTAGAAGACTGCATAGAAGGATAATTTATCTGCGTAACTTTCAAAACTCACTAAAAATGAGGAATATATTTTTGTCAAATGACAATATAATTGGAGAGTCCTCTGATTTAATGTGTTAGACCTCTAGGTCTAAGATCAGTGGAAGTTTCTTTCCTTTACCACATAAACCATGTAATACTTACTTTTAGCCCCAATAATGCACCTGATTCTTTTGGCATGGTTGTTCTCTTGTTAAGAATAACGCGCCCAATTAAGCGATCTCCCTCTTTAGAAGGCTGCCACGTTACTGGATGCTGTTAAAAAAACAAGCAGTGGAATTAAAGAAGTGCAACCATCTTCCTGTATTTAGATGTGTATTTATAAACCAATAAAATTTCTGGATCATTATGTCATGGTAGACACAAACATCCTTCAGATGTGTTACATATTGCACCCGAGCTTTCTATTATTATATCTGTTGGAGTCTGGCTTCATTAAATATTTATGCCCACTGTAAAAAACACTCAGCACTAAGTCTGCAGGTAAAATTATAATACAATTCAAAGTTCAATACAATTAAACATTTAAAACATACCTTAGGTAAAAAAAATAAACATTTACTTTTAAATTCCATGACCCTGAAAAGTGCATTCATAAATTCTGGTCTTTAGAAGAATATACATGTTATACAGCTCTACCATATGGGTTCACTATATAATAAAAATCCAAATGATCCTTTCCCACTCCAAGTCAACAGAAAAAGTCACTAATCTCTCCCAGAGCAGCATCACACTCACAGCTGCTTTTGTGGTGTGTAGTGAAATCTAGTACCATGTCTATAAAAGAATTACATTCAAGTTAAAATTCAGGCAATTTTACTAGTATACATTTTGACAAAAATTTCTTTCTGATTTCAATTTCCACAATCCACTAAACCAAATTTTCATATAATTTGTACAGAATAATTTTTTACAACAAAATATCTATGCTGAACTGAAATAATCAGCAAACATCTTAATTCATACTTATGAACCTCTTTTTCCCTATTTCTTACCGAACTAATAGGGGATGTCTCCCTGCTGTGCCACGTGGCAGGATCCAGCCAGTAATAATCCAAGTCACCTGGAAGAATATGAATAGAAAGAAATGTGTAATCTCTCAAACAGAGAAAGATGTATGAATGGTTACTTCTGTAGGCATGAATTTTAATGTGCAATAGTTTGATGAAGCAAACACAAAACCTGTATCGTGATTCAAATTAACTTATATCAATTTGAAAACAATATAGCCTAATAATATAAAAACAAAAACACATAATAATGCATTTATTTGGATCTCTGCTTTTTCACAAATTGCACCTCAGAATCGGTTGTGCACTCCGTCTGTTTTTGACTTTAACCAGTCATCTTCCAAGAATGGACCCCAATGCATCGCATTCACAGCCCTCCTCCTCCCCCCGTCTCCGAAACAAACACACAGGACTACAGCTAATGATGACATGAGAGAGAATACTCCACAAAATAGGCACTTAGCTATAGTTAAGGACAGAACAGTCAACCACACTCAAGAATCTGCCAAGTAGTCGATCAATACTGTGACAACGGGCACCGTACAGACAGAGAGGCACAGGAACTGGTAATGGGTAATAGAGCACCAGGCGAAACAGCCACACAAACAGAGCAAACAGCGCCAACAGCAGATAGGTTGCAATCTTTCATTTTGCTTGAGAAAAACTTATATACTATGTACATCAAGAATAAACTCATGAATTATAGCCGTCTGGAAGCCATGAGCCCATTGGGCCAAGGAGGGGAACCGTGGGCAGGGTTTGGGAGAAAAGGCAGCAGAGTATACATGAATAACATGTATACTCTGAGTATACAGAGTAACACCACAGAGAGTATACATGAATTTATGGAAAGCTAAGGAAACCACAGTTTGACTCAATATATTACAGCTGTAGAAGGCTGAGTTGGTGGCAAAAAACTACCAACTTCACTGGCAGTTGTCTGTGATAGAGGAGTGATGTAACTGTGCACTCCAAGAAAGAAAAGGATGAGGCAGGAATTGCAAGAGGAAGAGTATCAGGCAGTGCAATTCAGAGCACAATTTCTTTACAAAGACAAAGGGTGCAGGTGATATTGGGAAGGACATAGGAGAATGATGCAAGCTAGAACAGATCCAACGGAAGGATAAATGTGAGACTGATACAGCAGGAACAAGTCTGAAGTATTTCTGTGCTAGCACTAGTTTTAAACAGAATACAGCTGTGAGCTCTGAACCTTGGCGTTATTTCATCCCTTTGGGCATTGCCACAGTGTATTAACAAAAATGCAATAGTGCCATTAGAAATGAGAACCACAACTCTTTCTAATGAATGCTCTCTTGCAATAACAGTAGTATGTAAAAGCTTGATCTGAAATAACCAAGAGGTATTTTTTAATTTTATCTGAGAAAAAGTAGATGATTCTGCCACTTAGCTTACAATGCCTTTAAACACGCAAACAAACAAACCCCCCACCAAACCAAAATCTAAACTATCACTTCAGAGCTTACTTTTAGACCCTGAATGAAATAGTCACCTCTCACTGAGGTTTATACCCATACCTGCACTCCAGGCATTTTTCACCCTCACTTAGGCAGAGAAACTTGGTCATTTGAAATATGTTAGTGGAACAGTTTAATAATACTGCTTTTTGAATTTACAAGTGATTTTTTTTTTTTCCCAAGTCTTTAAACTGTTATCTCCCAGAGTTAGTTTTTGTTATGGAACAACTCTTCACACGCTTTCCTAACAACATTCCTACAAACTCTTTACTGTTCATTTAAAAGTCATCAGGTAAAAAACCTACTTTATCAAGTCAGATACCCTCCGCACTCTTGATATGCTCTATGTCTTCAGAAAATGTATTTTATTTATTATGTACATTTTAGGCAATACATCTTCACTATCTTATTTCAGAAAACACATCTCTATAATACTACTGTTAGATGACTACTTTTTCTAGCACACAGGCATCCAATACTCATGCCCAAACAAAGCATGCTTCTATCAAGAAAAAAAAATACATTTACATTAAGAGTTTATCATTTTTTATTCTTTTTCTACAAATATTTAGATGCTGATTATGAAATACAAGTTGTACCACTCTTTATAATCCATAAAATCTTCAATAGCTTACCATCTACATGATCATATGCACAAGCCTATTTTTAAACAGGTTATTATTATCATATGCATAACCACACAAGGCAGTTTGCGGTTGCATTAGCTACTGCAGTTCTGCAATTTTGGAGAGCTTAACTTCACATTAAAGATCTTCCAGTTTTATTTTTAGCATCTTTCCTTGCACCTTTATAGACTTCCAAATTGCAACAAGAACACCAAATTCATGAATCAGACTGCCTCCCCAGGTGCTGGCAGTAAGCTTGGACCTGTGGCACAGAGCTCTCCAATTTCCCGTAATGGACTCTACAGTAACACCAAAAAGCTGAGCTGGCCTGCCACAGGCAGAACACCACACACTTTTCCTCCATGTTTCACAGCTATTTGCTCAGCAATAGAAAAACATTCAGGCAGGAGTAAATGTCAGCTCCAGCATGCAGAGGTGTGTGTCCAAGCACTCAAAGACATTTCTGCTCTTGTCCCTATTGCTCCCTGCTCTCCTTTCTTCCTTCCCCAGCTTCAGCTTCTGGGTCTGAGTTTCCTTGCTGCTCTTCCTCCTGGTTACTGCATACCTGTGACCACCTGATTCATGCATCTAGCATCCTTCCTCACCAAGTTCCTGCTGTAGCAAGATCCTCTCATATGACTTCTGCCTTGGCTCCTACCTGCTATGATTCCCTCCTTACCAACTACCTACCCTTTGCTGCCTTTCTTCCCTGTTCATTTTGTTGCCATCGTCTGTCTCCTTCTGCTTCTGGCTTTGGTGTCCTCTCTTTAGGCTGTGTATTTTAATCCCTCCTTCCCCTCACGCCCCTTGATACTAAGCTACATCCTCACAGCCCCTTCCTCCCCACACATAATCCTTCAGCTTTCTGTCCCTTTCACCCCTCCTGTCTGTTCTGCACTTTGGTAAATTCCAAGCCACCAGCTACAGCCACTGAGGCCGGCCACGGCCATGGTCCTTTTGTCCTCTGCTCTCAGAAGCTGAGAGCAGGAACTGCACTGCAAACACGGCTGTACTGAGCTGGAACATAGATCATACGCCGGGAATGCATAAAGGTAGCTTTCAAATAAAAATTCTTGACTGAAAGCGATAGGTCTATAATTTGGTGAATATTTTAAAAGCTGCAAAAATGCATGAATTGCGGAGAAAAAAGAAAAAAGTCCATGTTCTTGAAAAATGACTGAATTTTTAAATTCCCATTAAAATTCAGTATGAAATAGACCACTGGCATGCAAACTTTTGGTTGAATCTACAACTGTAAAAAGGGTTTTACAGTGGAAAGTGTCAGTTAATCCACATTTATAAACACTGATAGAATAGAATATACAAATTAAAACATAAAGGAACAAAATCTCCAAATGAGCTAGAAAAATATTTTATGCCAGCAACACTGACACTAGGGTCTTGACATCTGCACTTAAGTACTCTGTTACAGCTATACTTTTAAAAATAATTTCTCCTTGATCATCCTATGTCATTGCTGCTTCTTTACTTAATACCTATGTATGAAATTCTTGCACTGCCATACCCCAGTATTTGTTTAATTACACAAAATAATTTCACTGAACTAGTATTATAGAGATCCAGGAATAGGTAAATAACATGCAAAAAGTTACAGTCTAAGAGCATAGTTTCAGAATTTCAGATTTTCTCAAAAAAAACCCACCAAAACTCAAAACTAAAAACCATATACACAGAGTACTCTCTCCACTGGTAAAAGTCACTAAAAATAACCTTAAAATAAGACAAATTTAAGACATTATGGAGAGGAAAAAACAACTTTTCTAAGGAGTAAATAATTGATTTACAGGCTTAATCTCCTTTAAAACACTTTTTAAGCAATTAATTTTAAAAACATGACAAACTTAAAAATAATAACCCGCTATGAAAATATACATATACTGTACCATTATTTTTGTACCCTACTGATATATTTCTAAAACATAAAAAATGTATTTCAAATTAAAGCATATCATTAAAAATGCATTTGCAGTTATAATGCATGATTTACTTAAGACCAATGGAGTGAAACAAGTATATATTTAGAAAACCTTTTTTCCTGAGGGAATAATTCAGAAGTTGTATCCTGGCAGCAATGAAATATTTTTCCTTTTAACATGCTGCTGCTCGATTACTTTGCTCTTGGACACAGACGGATATAATCATAAATCTACTTTACAAGACGCAAATATGTTGAGTTTTTTTCAGAGAGAAGTCTTTTGCAGTCTTTGATCGAATTTCAAGACGGGGAGTAAAATTCTAATAAAGGGCCATTGTTTTTACATCTGCAACATGCGTGCCTTCAAAATAAAGGGAAAGCAAAAGTCACACCACTAAAAAAAACATTTTCTCTAAAATACTTCATCTTCAGCAGCACTACCCATACCAAAAGCTAATGCTGGGATGCTGCAATTTCAAGTGAAGTCCTGCAAAGCTGAGAAGTGCTGGAAATGACAGCCTTGTCTCTTGCAAAGCCAAAACAAGCACAAAATATGAGAAAGTCCATTATTGTGTATGACCAGTCATGTTGATTTCCAAAGAGTCTTGAATACCGGAGATAAAATACCCCAAGATGTTTCCCCAAATCCATCCAGACTGTATTCAGAGACTTACTGATATTCAACAAAGAACGCACTTCTGGTGTTCTGCTCAAATCCAGATGCACTAGATTTGCAGCAGTTAAGACAAGAAGCAGACAGTCTAATGATAAGAGTCAGTCAGCCCATGTTAAGCACTTAATTGAGCCTAACATATAGCTGCTAATTAATAAAGCAGTTCTATCACGTAACTAGGAAACTTAGACAATTATTTTCAGAGTCTGCATCTAAAATTAAGGTGCAAACTGGCTTCCTATATAGTCAGACTAGATCTCTCTAATTAACACATGCAACAGCCATTGATGTACTTACCTTTGTTAATTTTTAGGGTCAAATATAGCCTGTATTAAACAGA